GCCCTGTGATATCAAACAATACAAACTATTCATTCCATTAATGAAAATACTTTTATGAAATGCATAGACTAATTTTTTTTTAACACTTGGAATATTTATATTCTAAAGTATTTTTTTAAATAGAGAGATAAATCAATGCATTCAGATTGTGCTACCAGTGAACCAGAAAATAGGATAGTACTTCCAATTCAATTTGTTCATTATTGTGTGGATGATTAAAGCTTTTGAAACAAAATTAAAGTGCTTAATAAGCAAAGGTTCATTTTTTTAGTTTATAGATAAATGACCAGATACTTATTTTTTTATTTACATTTTAACTGAAAATTTGTTCATTCATAATAAAAAGATGAGTCATAATAAATTATGTATATATCTATATTTTTAAACTATTTTCTGTTTTAAAATGTTATTTGTTCTAGCAATAACATAAGACATTATCTTCAAGTTCACTTCCATTATATTTTATTTATTATTTTTTATATATATTTTTTTTATTGATTTTTCACAGAGAGGAAGAGAGAGGGGTAGAGAGTTAGAAACATCGATGAGAGAGAATCATCGATCAGCTGCCTCTTGCACACCCCCTACTGGGGATGTGCCCGCAACCACTGTACATGCCCTTGACTGGAATCGAACCTGGGACCTTTCAGTCCGCAGGCTGACGCTCTATCCACTGAGCCAAACCAGTCCTGGCTCACTTCCATTTTAAATAAATTTGTGTCTATGAAGGAGAAGAGAGTAAGAGAAGGAGAGAGAAAAAGAAAGATGGAGGTGGGAATAAGTATTTTAAGGGAGGCATGGGAAAAGGGGAAACAGCAAGATAGAAATGAAGAACATTGTGATTTAAAATATTTAGTTTTACTTTCTTTCCCCCAAATCCAATGTTAAAATAAGTTCAAGAAGAATTTGTAGACAAAGTGGAGAATATCTCTATTCATTTTAGTTTCATAGAAAACTATGTGTTCCTACTTAAAAATCTCAGTCTACAATCTATTTCAAATGGCCTGAGGTAAACTTTATATCAACCTGACTCTGGTTTCTATTTTTCTGCCAAGCCTTTCACAGTTAACAACATTTTTAAGATTTGTAAAGTGATAAGCCTTTATCGGGCAGGTCTATCTCTGCTGATAGTACCTAGTCAGTCACAGAAGAGATCCATCAAAAATCTGTGGTTCACAAGTCCTCTTTTAAGTATTCTAAGCTTTTATTCATTGGATCTTTTTAGCTAGAAATATTTGCAACTACAGTGATTAACTCAAATGATGTGTCTTGCAGAGATCCCTTTTCCTTCTCCATTGCACACATCCCAGTCCAGGCGCTCTATATACAGAAGTACTATAATAAAAAAGCTGGTGCTGATGTTCTCTGTCTTCACCCACACACATTACCCTGCTCTCCACTGCCAGAGCAGGCCAGATCTGTTCTTTTCTCAAAGAAATCCAATGCTTGCTGGATATTACCCAAAGTTCTAATGTTCACTTTCTTCACTCCTCTCTTCCCTTCAGCAGTCTCTTACTCCAACTCTCCATTCAAAACATGCAGATTTACTTGATAGAACTTCAAATATGCTTGCTATGATCTCAGTGCTATCACATAGCTCAGCATCCCCTTGTCTGAAATGCCCCTTCTCTATTCACCTCTTTTCTACCTGCCTCTTTGCCTACTATAATAAAATGCCAATGAGGCCAATATTTAATGTTAGCCTTTTCACCAAACTGTACTTAATTGGTCCAAAGAATGAGCAACCCTGTGCCCAGCTTGTGTGGCTCAGTTGGTTGAGCATCATCCATTCACCAGGAAGTCATAGTGAAATTCCTGGTCAGGGCAATGCCTGGGTTGGGGCTTAATCCCCAGTAGAGGGCATGCAGGAGGCAGCTGATCAATGTTTCTGTCTCACTGATGTTTCGAATTCTCCCTCTCACTTCCTCTCTCTGAAATCTAACAAAAAATACATGAATAAATAACCTCCTGCCCCTTCAGCACTGAAAGTCAGCCTTCTCTTATCAATTAGTCATGTGCTCCTTTTCTTCTTAGATTCTAAGCTCCTGAAGAGAAAGCATAATTTATTCTTCTCTGCATACATTGATGTATCATATACTGTGCCTCTCACATAATAGGGGCTCGATCAATATTGAATGAATGAATAATCAATGAGAAGTGCAAGAGATTCTGGTTTCATTCTGAAGAAACCCTGCTCAATGCCTTAAGTATCTTGCTTATGCCTCTACAAAAAGGGTATGGGTTTGCACAGGCAACTTCCATGCTATCACGTTTTATATAGAGAAAGAAGTTCCTTTACATTAGTATTTTCCTCAATGAAGTGAGAGATCATTCAAGATACCATATATATATATATATATATATATATATATATATATATATATATATATATTTTTTTTTTTTTTACTTATTTTGAGAATCTTTTCAAAGGAAAATGAGACTTAGAGCAATAAAAATAATATAGCCATCTATTTGTATTTGTTTGTTTGTTTTTCTACCAACACGGTTAAGGAAAATCTTACTTTATATTGGCTGAATCATCTTCATGAGTTTTGAAAATAAAATAATTTGAGAAATTGAAATTGAGCTTAAAAAGGAAGTCTGTAAATTTTACTTATACATAATCCTTTCTCCCCCATAAAATTTAAATTATAAAAGTAAAGCCTTTACTTTTCTCCCAAAACTAGCTTTTCTGCTTGAGTTTGTAATTTTTTGTTCATAGCATCATTTCTCTCCCTTGGTTTGAGGCCGCACAATCACCAAAACTCTCAATACTTGTAACACAATCACTGCAATGTTTTTTGAATTATATGTACTAACTCTGGTGTTGCTTTATACTTTAAGGCAGCAATTTTCAACTGATGTGACACCAGAATTTTTAAAACATGCAATACCTATCTATTTAGTCAGGGGCACTGATTTCTTTTCCCTTAAATTGTCAAAAAAACAACAACAAAAAAAAACAAAACAAAAAACGATCAACACAGCAATAGACGTCAGGTTTGAATGAATTAAAATTATGTGTTTTTTGTTTGTTTGTTTTTTTTGGTCACATTGGCAAAATATCTAATATATTTTTTGGTGTACTGCAGAGTTTTAGTAATTAATTTATGTGGCCCATAAGATGAAAAATGTTGAAAATCACTGCTTTAAGGCATTACACAAATGTCTAGGTTTATCTAAAGTTGCTTATTTACCTAATTAAAGACTAATGACTCAAATTGATCCTTGAGATATTATGTAAAACGGCCCCAACCTTTTTTTCATCTTAATAGGCCACACTTTTTATAAACATACCCCCAGTTTCACTCACACTCAATTATTTACAATAAAAATTATACTGCATCTATTTCCTCTTCTGAATATTTACTCAAGATAATCTTCCTAGGAATCCATTATTTCCCTGCACAACCATAGCAACTGTGGTACCCTTTAAGAAATACCTTAAACAATATTTTTTTCCATAAAGTCTTAAAGAATTCTCAAAGATGTTTGAGCTTTATCAATTCTGAAAACCTTTATTTCATCATGTGTATATTCTAAGGAACTCCCCATAGTCAGCTTCCCCTTGTCTAATAGTCCACTAGGCTGTACATTCCTAAGGCAGAGTAGCTATATTTACTATTGCTCAGAGTAGATTCTTAAAAACTTTTTTAAAATATATTTTTTGAAAGATAGTTAGAAACATCGATGAGAGGAGAAACATCAATCAGCTGCCTCCTGCACACCCCCTACTGGAGATGTGCCCGCAATCCAGGTACATGCCCTTGACCAGAATCAAACCTGGGATCTTTCAGTTCGCAGGCTGAAGCTCTATCCACTGAGCCAAACTGGTTTCAGCTCAAAAACTTTTATCTAATCATCAAGATTTCTGATTATCTATCTTCTTCATAACCCTAAAGATCTCCTAAGTCTTATATTAAAATATTCAAAAAGTAATCAACATGGTTCACATCCAAAAGAGGAATAATGAAACGCTGTGACAGCGGACTCTGTCCTGTGGTGCTTTAGGCATGGATGCTCTAGTCTACAGTCTTATCATCACATCTACCGATTTTTTTTTCATTGCTTCTTTGCTTACTGTTTCGTTTTTATGTTTTTCTCTCATTCTTCTACTTTCTCTATGACTCTGTGTTAGGTCTGCAGGGATATTCTTTGGCATTTTTGCTTATCTCTACCAGTAACATTTAAAGATTAAAATATTTCTGACTTCTGTGTTATACTATAAAGAATGATAATTGCCTTAATAGGGTATTGCTAATCTTTAAACTAATCTCCAAAGTTTGTGGAAAAAATTAAAACTAAAAGGATTCAAACTGAATGTCAGTGTTTATTTTTAAAGCTCTCAGATTAGTTGTCAGTCACCCTGGCTGGGTACTCAATGCTGGGCTTTTCAATTCCCTGTCAGGGAACATACTTAGGTTGTGCATTTGATCCCTTGTCAGAGAGGCAACTGATCTATGTTTCTCCCGCACATCAATGTTTCTCTCTTTCTCTCTCTCCCTTCCTCTCTCTCTCTAAAATCAATAAAAATATCCAGCTAGGATTAAACACACATGCACACATACACAAAACATACTCTTCTCAACACAGGTGACATTAAAGGAAAGAAACAAATAATTAGAGCTAATAATTAGCTATATATTGATACATTAAAAGAAAATTTTAAAAAATGCCTCAACAATTTTTTAAGCACCTTTTCTTCCTACTTTAGTTCCATTAGTGCAATCTTACCATACTATCAAAACAAATTAAAATTCAGGTGGAAAGCAAAGATGATGGATGTAAGCTGAAAGTTATTATAATGACTTTTTTTTTTCTGAAAAGTTTTTCCAATAACTATACTAGTCTTTCTTAGGTTTTATTTATACCCATGACTTTGTGATAGAAGACAATAGTTTTGCCAATAAATGTCCCTCTAGAAATATGGAGTGAATTAAAAATAATAACTGTAGTAAAATTGTAGATTATTTAGGGCGAATGGGTAGAAAACCACTTACCCCCCGTTGCCACAGTGATTTCACGTAGAAAATGGCCATAAAATGGAAAATCGAAAGACAGATTCACTCTCTGCAAGGAACAACACCAGAAAAGAAAATCAATAATGCACATAATAGTAAATGCAATATGAAGAGCCTTCCACTTAAAAAACTGATGTTTCTTTTCTACTTTACAACGCTATTATTGTAGTTGACTTTTAAAACCAGAATCTCAGGTGGTAAGAAAGGACTTTTTTTCCTGGTAATTACATGTTTGAAATGTGTGAAAAGAATAAAGTTGAGCTGTTATTGTCCGTTGGTCTGTTCTTTGCGTACAAAGGAAATCTCAAAGTTTCAACTCTCAATCAAGCTATTCTCTCTTAATATCCCCAGTGCCTTTTACATGTCCACTGCAAATCAGTTCATACATCGTGATAAACAATTTACTCTGGGGTCCTTTTTAGTTACATTAGTCATCTCCAAAAGAGTCTTCATTACCTATCAAGTTATATTGAAAAAACAATCAAAAGATTTTCATTCACATAATTATGCATTCAATTTGATTTCTATTCATCTCATAATGCAAGGCAGTCTCATGGAACAAGATATCTGCACCTACAGTCTGAGACCTGCAGACAATTTTATTTTTTTAGATATAATAAACTCTCCAGGTTCAGCATATTATGTCTATTTTTGAAAACAGATTAAGAATAATAAATGCTGGTTATACTTTTCCTTTGTATAGAGAAAATTTGGGGAGAGTTAGGAAAAAAGTTTATAAATTTTACCTCTCTGTTTTTTAAAAAGGGGTCTGAAGCTTAAGTTATGTATACATACAAACATACACATATACTTTAATATTATATATTTTATTTATATATTACATACTTTATATATAATAAGTACATATAACATATCATATATAATAACAAAAACAAAATACAACACAACACAGCAAAACAAAGAAACAAAAAACCCTGATATTGTTTGAATGCTTGAAACAATATAAACTAGATGTATTATTACAAAAAAAACACAGAAGAAAAGTAGTAAATTATAACAAAAATTATCCACTGTTATAAAAACATCCAGAGGGAAATTAATTAGTTGGTTTAAACCCTAAAAGCATTACCAACTATCTATAGCAAAAGGCTATTGTGTTAAAACTCAACAGTTTCTATATTATCTCTCCCAATGCACAAATTAAAAACAAAATAGAGAAGTATATCTAGATTTAATTTAGCTCCTTCCAATTTCGCAAATGATTGCTTTTTTATATCCATCAGAGATTTTTAATAACTTATTTGGCATGAAATTAATCATTCAAAATTTACAGTGACTTTCAATTACGTTTTCTTTCCTTTTTAATGAATGCTGCATCTTCAGAACGGGTTTATTATCATTTTTATTTTTTGCTGACTAATGTAACAAGAAAATTCATTTTCACTGCAGTAACTGAAATGAGTGGTTACCAATAACTCTAAAATAAAAGCTTCAATAGCAAAATCATATGTCTCAAAGAAGATGTCAGCAATAATTTCATAAAGGCACTTGCTACACTATCTTGTTTTCCAGCATTCTAATTTATTTCAATGATCATGAGCAAGTTAGTAAAATTGCAGCTCTTTGTCCTTCTCACTTCCACAACAAGAGTTTGGTTTAGACATATAATCAGTAATAATCTCTATCAATTAGCACCAAGGATGAACCAGAGTTTCTTTACCACCACAGATATTTCAATACTTTTAGAACAAGGTTGAGACATATAAATCCATAAGGTAAAGACTTTTGTAAAAAGCAAAAAAGTTCTCAAAGAAAATTTGAAGAACAACATCAATGACTGAAATGTTCCCCTGTTTAATGGTCAATTTGCCTTAGTTATCATCATGCCTGCTTCACACTGATAAGAAACAGCAAGGACAATTTAGAAAGATGCTAGCCTCATAATAGTTGTGAAATCTGCCCATGTCTCTCCAGATACTACCTACTCCTTCCCCAAGTGCTGGTCACTATTATTGTAATAAATTCATCACAGGTGTCTTGATTTTATTTCTCCTACAATTCTTTCTCCATAATAATATCTAGTATATCACTCCCCTACTTCATATCTTTCAGTCTAGAATCCCACTGTCCCCACATTAATGCCAAAGAAGTAAAAACGGTTCTACAGCCCACCACTACCTGGGCTGCTACCTCACAGTCCCCCCTTCATGGCTCTGGCCAGGCATCCAGGACTTTTTTAGTTCCTTGAAACTTCCACCCTTAACTATTGGCTATGGTACTTTTACATGATGTGTCTTCTGACTGTTATGATCTCTCAGTCAATCGTGGCTTCCATATTCTTTAAGCTTTGGTTACCCCAATACCAATCCTACAGAATGGCTTAGGGGTGGATCATTCTTTGGAAGCATTTTCTAAAGAAAGTGGGAAACATGAGAAGAGAGAAACCAGTCATAGGTGCAATTGTTGGCTGTGCTACCACTACAACCAGGTCTCCCATTGGAGACTCTGAGAAACAGTAGGAAAACATGCCTTAGGATCATTTCATTGGTGGTTAGGATTGGGACACTATCCATCATCTCCTGTTCCCTATTGATTGATGGTTGCTCCTGGGGGTGGTTAACTCCCCATCTTCCCCAGACTACACTTATTTGTACTCTCAGCCAGAAGCAGAGATATAGCATTTGGGCTGGAAAGTTACTGGTAGGTTAGAAACTATACCCACAGTTTTAGGTGAACTCAGCAGGCAGAGGAATATGGGGCAAAGCATCAAAGGGAACAGCAAAGTGTCACATCCTCAGAGAGTCATACCTTCATTTCTTAGCTCACATTATATCTTTCTACTCTATCTCATGTAGCATTTTCTACATATTCGTTCATATATAAAGCAACTGCGTAAGGTTCATATTATAACTGCTTTGAAGTCAAACTAACTCAGCAAGGAGTAATTAAGCATGGCCCAAGTAGAAAACTAGAATCTAAATCCAGGTTTAATTGACACTGAAGGAAATGTGCTTCATTACTTAGATATTTAAAACAAAGTAAAGAGAAATTTTTGAAAATTATTATTCCTCTTTAAAAAACACATATCCACCCATATATTCACACAAAAAAATACCACTAAAGCATAAACAAAAACAAACACTAGAATCCCATGAAGTACTTTGAAGCAAAATGATGACATACTTAACATAATTACCTTTGGATAATTGGATAATCATTCTGTCTCTGTATAATATATAAAACAGGCATTGGGAAGCTGAAGGAAGTTTTATTCATTCAATCATGCAGTCAACAATCAATTATTCAACACTATATATATATATATATATATATATATATATATATATATATATCCATATATATATATATATATATGTCAGACACTGAATCAAGGACTAAAGAAAAAACAGTAAATAAGTGCCACCCAGTTCCTTCCTCCAAGGAGTTCATCAAGTGATAAGGCAGATCACAGAAGGATAAAGGAAAGGAGCAGGCAGAGTAAGGACCAGGAAAGACACCGAACCCAGAGGAGATGGCACTGAGACTGACTCTTTAAAAGAAACTACAGCTAGAAGGGACCCAAAGGTATGAATCAAACGACAGGTTATCCCAAAAACATGTATACACACTTTAACAGCTGATAGCTCAATTTTGAAAATGAAATGCATTTTAATAAACACTTGCCTTTATAATTTGGGACATCCTACATGTGTAGAAAATAAAATTGGAAGGATGCCATGATTCATTAGATATAACAGTCGGGAGTGAGAGAAGACAGTCTAGATTAAAGGACAGGTTCCTAGCTGAATGACCAAGTGGATTACAGTGACACAAATTGAGATGGTGAATACAGGAAAAAGAGTTATTTATTCTGGTTAGGTGTGAGAAGGCCTGCTGTGTCATTAATTAGTGAGTGTTCCATTAACTGTAACCAGAAAGAACACCAGAATCCTGTACACTGTCACAAAAAAGCCATTATCAACAAAAAAAAACACATAGCATTGAAATTATGGTATCATTACTATACCTTGAACATTATCCTATCTTGGATATCATCCCTTAAGAAATACCTAATGTAAAAGGGAAAATGATTCAGGAAAACTGTCATCTAAAGACACAGTCAATTAATTAATAATCTGGTCAAAATACCAAATAAAAATTCAGAAATGAAACTTTCAAGAGCATGAGCGACATAGATGCGATCAACTGAATTTACTGCTTCCTTGCACTCTGGAAAGGAGTTACTACTTGAAAGATGAGGTATGATATTTTTTAGACAAGCAAATAAAGCATCCTTCTTCATGTGGAGAAGGATAAATCTATGAAATTTCCTTTGAAGAGTTTGATGAAATAGATTCATAGATCCCATGTGGTTTGGTGTTAAGGTATGGCAGGTATAGCCAATAAATGACTATGGTCTTAAAAAACACATCATCCTCTCTCCACAACATGGTCCCTAACATTATCATCAGTAGACATTTGGTCCTGTCCAAAATGTCCAAGAATACGCCCTGGGTTCAAATAGTCCATAATATGCATTTATAACTTTGATTTATAGGATTAACTCATAAAATATATTATCATGTCTTATCTGTCCAATAATTGCATTGTGGCTGCATTGGCCATAATAGCCTTCTTGCCTCAGTAGTTTAGCTAGTAATGAATGGCACAAGAGGTTATGTAAATGGGTTGGTGTGGACCAAATGTGTCCATGGATGTTTTAGACCAAATATCCAGGACCTTTTGTCATGGGCCACATATCTCAATGAGTGTTTTGGGGACATTTTGGACAGGACCAAATATCAGACAAGAGAAAGTACTGTTTGGGACTGACTATTAGACTTAATCAGGGTCATACTCCTAGATTTCTAAGTGTATTCACACCTTTTATTGCCTCTTTAACATAATTTTCTTATGTCTATTGCTATTTGTCTTCTCACTAATTATTATCTTTTAAAATTCTTTTTAATAATACAATAATTTTAATCCAACATACACACTATCCCAGTTTCCCCTGTTTGCCTATTTCTCAGTTGTATTACAAAGGTAAATTAATTAGGGCCAGTAAAAGCTTGAAGACAGAAACTG